ACATCAATTGACTTAAGATAATCCTCCACAGGCCACCCCAATATAGACAATCCAAGCCTGACACTTTTCCCAGGTGATTCATGATAATGTCAAGTTGACACCCATCATTCTGTGTGTGTATGTGTGTGTGTGTGTGTGTGTGTGTGTGTGTGTCTATGCGTGTGCCCACATACACACACCACAACGTTTGTGTGGAGAGCAGAGGATAACCTAGAGTGTTGGTCTTCACCTTCCACCCTATTTCACACAGGATATCTTGTTCCCAGCAGTGTATTTCAGACTACCTGACCTAACTTCTAGGGATCCTCCTATCTCCAGCCACTGTGTCCCTGTAGGAGCAGTGTGATTACAAACACACTGCATCAGGTTTTGGGGATCCAAACTCAGGTCCTCACACATGGGCATCTATCTCCGAGCAAACCCATAAATGTGTATTTTTAAGCACCAAGAAACTAATAAAAATAGAGCCCCAGAAGTTTGAGTAACCATCTAGCAACAGAATATCAGCGTTGATTGTTGACATCAAGCGGTCTTCAGGAAATCACAGACGTGTAGTGAGTGTTGTGGCCCTCTCAATTTTGGAGCCTCGCACACAGGATGAATTGTATGCCACAAGTATATGTGTAAACCAGAAAACTGGGTAGTCAGTAAATGACAGTGAATTTCACATCAAGTCCTCACTTGTTAGCTAGGAGCCTTCAATATTAGTCAATGAATTCCTGTTTCCAAGACCCCTCATGCAGTTGCTCTTTCAAACCAGTTGAATCTTGCTTCTCTCACAGGATGAGCATCACTCAGTGTTTTCTTGTTCCATTAATAAAAGCAGTGAACAATGGAAGGACGTTCCAAGGACACAGTCTGAAGTCCTCCAATGACTTTAGTAGGAAGCCTCCCTCCTAGGTCTGCTGACTTTTCCATCAACTAGACAATAACAGAAGTGCCAAGAATCTTAGTGTGTTTCCTCCTACAGGGCCTAGTTGAGTAAAGAAACCTTTATACATTGTGTGTGTGTATGTGTGTGTGTGTGTGTGTGTGTGTGTGTGTGTAAGAGAGAGAGAGAGGAGAGAAAGAGAGAGAGAGAGACAGAGACACACAGCGAGAGACAGGGGGAGGGAGAGGGGAAGGGAGAGGGAGAAATGTGCCAGAGTCAAGTCAACTCTTCTATCTGGGGAGCAGCTCAGGTCCTCAGCCTCGGCCTTTTCCTGCTGAGCCATCACACCAGCCCCAAGAGACTTTCCTAATGTAGAATTCACTCTTCCAGAGAACCTCTTGACAAAATGCCATGTGTGCCACCTAAACAGATTCCACATGCTGAGAGTGCAGTGATATTCCCAGGGAACAAGGCCTACTACTTTGCCTCCATTCTTTCTTGGAGTGTCCTCTGAGCAGCTCCGTTTGAGTTCTTTCTTGAAGAATGAGATGCACATTTTACTTTTATTTGTGTATGTGTGTGTGTATGTGTGTGTGTTTGAGAGAGAGAGAGAGAAAGAGAGAGAGAAAGAGAGAACCATCTGTGTGGGGGTGTCTGCAGAGGCCAGAAGAAGGTATCAGGTCCCCTGGGGCTTGAGTTCCAGCTGGTTTTGAGCCACATAATGTTGGTGCTAGGTACTGAATTCGGATCTTCTGGAAGAGCAGGAAGCTAAGCTAACCACTAAGCCATCTCTTCAGCCCTGAAATGCACATTTTAGAAACAAAATACAATAAACAATCAAAAAGGTCTTCTCTTAGGCTAGGCATAGTGGCACACGCCTTTAGTCCCAGCATTCGGGAGGCAGAGGCAGGCAGATCTTGGATAGCCTGGTCTACATAGCAAGTTCCAGGCCAGTTGGGGCTACAGGGAAACCCTGTATCACAAAAGACTGAAAGAAAAAAGTCTTCTCTTGTGACCTTCATTGTCTATTCAAAACAGAACAAAGACACATTCTCTTCTGACCTAGTCTGCCGTTCCTACCATGCCCATAATGGAATTAATTTAAATATTCCAGTGTAGCAGGTCATGGAGTACCCAAAATACCTGTACAAGGGTGCTTGCTCTCAACCAATACCCAAACGCTGCAAGCATACTGTGCTGGATAGCTTTAGTGTCAACTTGACACACCTGGGTTGAGGGAGCCTCAATCAGGAAATTGCCTCTATTGGACTGGCCTGTGGCCATGTCTGAGGGGCATCTTCTTGATGAGTGATGTGGGAGGGCCCAGCCCACTGTGGATGGTGCCACCCCTGGGCAGGTGGGCCTGTGTTGCATAAGAAAGCAGGCTGAGCAGGGGCCAAGGGAGCAAGCCTGTAAGCAGCATTCCTCCATGGCCTGAGCTCCAGCTCCTGCTTCCAGGTTCCTGCCCTGAGTTCCTACCTTGGGCTCCCTGATGAACTGCGTGCGACCTGGGAGATGTAAGACAAATAAACCCTTTCCTCCCCAAGTTGGTACTGGTCAGAGTGTTTTGTCACAGCAATGAAGAAGCAAACTAAGACACATACCAAGGGCATCTTGGGCAGAAAAGTCCCCTGTCATTTGCTTCCAATTTTCTTGGGGAAATACGATAGGCTTTCAGGAAGCCACCTGTGACTCTCCCCTCTGAGAGACATTGAAATAAGGCTCGCTGCTGTTCTTTAATTATATTTCAAATATGTATTATTTCTGAGCTGTCATCTCTCCTAGGATTTTATAAGCATAGCATCCTTTTGCTAATATTTATTACCTAGAAGAGCTATATAAATCTCGGTGCAGTGTACCAAATAGTCACTGCCTGTTAATTTAATCTTTTCCCAAGAAAAGAAAAAAAAATACAAAATAGATGATGTTTAGACAAGGTTCCCGTGGATACATCCCATTGAAGTCCTGGCCCTTTGAGGTCCTGCTCATGCTGGGGAAGTCATGAATGATTGCAGTAGGCAATCAAGGCAAGCCTAGACTACAGAACAAAACTGTGTGTCAAGGGAGGAGGGAGGAAAAGAGAGATGGGCAGAGAAGCAGGGAGGGAAAGAAGAGAGGGAGAGGGGAAGGAAAGACTCTAGGAGACAGACTAGAGGAGCAGAATGGAGTCACTTGGGACCCTCAAGAAAGTAACTGGGTCCTCCTTTAAGTTCCCAACTTTGAGTCCTCAAGCCTAGACTACAGAACAAAACTGTGTGTCAAGGGAGGAGGGAGGAAAGGAGAGATGGGCAGAGAAGCAGGGAGGGAAAGAAGAGAGGGAGAGGGGAAGGAAAGACTCTAGGAGACAGACTAGAGGAGCAGAATGGAGTCACTTGGGACCCTCAAGAAAGTAACTGGGTCCTCCTTTAAGTTCCCAACTTTGAATCCTTGTCACAAGGATGATGTATGGAATATGTGGGATGGGGTTGAACTTTTGTCTCTAGGCCCCTTTATCCACTTTTCCCAAGTCCAAATTGGGTTCTATAAATTGTGAGATCCAAACATTGCAGGGCTTTGTAAGTATCCTAACACTAAAAATCATTCTCCTGAGCATTGCTATAGATGGTCTTGAAGGATGGTTTTGGCAGGCTATGCGTGTTCATGTGTCCAGGTTTATATGTGTGCACATCCCCGTGGAGGCCAGGTGTCAACCTCGTGTGTCATATCTCAGGATCTCTCCACCTTGTTTTATTGAGGCAGGGTCTCTCACTAGGACCTAGTTCTGGTCAAATAGGCTAGACTGGTTGGACAAGGCACCCCAGGAATCCACATGTCTCCACGTCCCCAGTGCTATGTTTACAAATGCTTACCACCATGCCCAACTTTTTCAGGTAAGTGCTGGGGTTCAAACTCAGGTCCTCATTCTTGCATGACAAGCACTTTATAAACTGAGCTATCTCCCCAACCCCCTAGAATACCTATGTTTTTAATCATTCATTCCCAGAGAACGAAAGGGAGCTGTCAGCATCATGGCTTGCAGAAGGCCAGTAGAGTTTTTAGTAAATAGATATTGAAAGGTATTCACAAAGTAATCACAAGAAGAAGAGCTTCAGACATGTTCCAAGGAAAGTGACCAGTCTTGAGTCATGTCTGAAATGTCAATGTTAAATCACAATTATTTCAGCTGAGAATTTTGGCTTGTCCACAAAGGACAAAAAAAAAATTTTAAAAAGCCAAAGAGATACTGTGGCTAGAGGATTGGAATCTGGAAACTAAGTCTGGGGTCAACTTTGGAAAAAGGCTGGTGGATAATTCAGCTTTACTTGAATTATCAAGATAATTGCCGTGACATTTAACTTCCCTTGTTCTGGGAAATGTGGCCTCAGTACACATGGCAGGCAGTGAATGTCACCATGAGACCAGAACACTTTGAACCATTACCTTGTCTGTCCCCCGCCCCATTAGTCTCACTTCAAGATATAAAGGTTAATTCTGTTTTTAAAAAATCATCCAGTTGAGGTTGTTAGGTGCGAATTCATATCCAAGCACACTAAGTGTCCCCACACTCTGTGGATTAGCGACTCTGTGACTCTTAAAAACTCTTAAGTATTCAGGATGCTCAAAGGGCTGTAATGATTTTCCTTGAAGAAATATTGTCTGACACCATTACAGGCACATGATCTGGTTGGAAGCTTGGGAACTCAGATATCTGATACTCTTACCCACAGCCTGAAGATCACCAGGCTTTCTGTTGACCTCTACCCTGTGAGAAGCATATTTCTAGAATCAGAGCTGTGGATGCCCTTATTTACAGTCAACTTCAACAAATGCATTATCCACACCCACTAAGTGGTCCACACTGTCCCATCATCCAGCAGACAACTCTAATCTAATTCTTTCTCCCCTGGCATCCCACTGGCTGGATCAGAGCACACAAGCCCCTTAGCAGGTGTTATCCATCCTCCCACAGGGATTCCTTGGGTACCTCTGGGTTCAGAAATACCATTCAGCTAAATTATTTTGACAATCTTTGCATAAGACATTTTAAGACATAATTGGTTTTTCTAAAATTGTCTAATATGTTTGAAAAGTCATCTTTATTTTCTTTCTTTCAGAGCTAAAAATTAGGACTGTTTTTTTACCCCCCTAGGAAAACCTCTTTTTTGTGATGGAGTATCTCAACGGAGGAGACTTAATGTACCACATCCAAAGTTGCCACAAGTTTGATCTTTCCAGAGCCACGTAAGAACCCTGCAAGAACCTGGGAGATTTCTATATGCATGGCAATTTGTGTGTACCTGCCACACACAGACTATTTTTCCTGTGTGATTTTTTAAAAGATTCATTTTGTCAGTCATTTATTTGTTTCTTTTGTGTGTGTGGGTGTATGCCTGAGTTTATGTATGCGCACCATGTGCTTGCAGTGCCAAAAGATGGTAGAAGATGGCATCAGATGCCCTGGAACTGGAGTTACAGGTGATTGTGAGCCATTCAGTGGGGGTGCTGGGAGCCAAACCCAGATCCTCTGTGAGGACAGCCAGTGCTGTTAATTGCCGAACTATCTCTCCATCCTCCTCAAGCTGGTTTTCCTGCTTCTCTACTTGGTATGCCTAGGTCCCAGAGCAAGATAAACACTGGGGAAGAGTGTCAAACTAGCCAATAGTTTTCCTAATAAAAACGAAATCCAGGTCTGTCTTGTTCCCCGTGCTGCCGACAGTTAGATTTTACGAACCGCCCCAGTTCATCAAGCTCCTAGCTCACTGAGCACAGAAGCAGTCAAATGAAGCACAGATCTTCCAGGTGGCCCTGAGGTTTGAGCTGCAGTCTGTCATGGGGAAACTCAGTGGGAAGGTGTAAACCCTTCATCCCCTGAGGCATGAGAAGCGGGAAACTACAAGTGCACTTCCTGTTTGAGAGTAAATCCCCCTCTTCTCTGGAATCAAGCACCCAGAGGTGCATGTGAGATGGAACCAGCTTGTGTTTACCCAGTAGGACAGTGGCTAGGTCCCAGGCATCTGTAAGGGTTGTTATCCCCACACCCTATAGTCCTGCTTCCCTCCTCATGAACTCTATCTAACATGCAAGCAGAAGTAAAGACTGAAATTAGGTTCATTTGAAACTGATATCTAGGGTTGGCAAGATGGCTCAGTGGGTAACAGTGCTTGCCACCAGACCCGAAGACCTCAGTCTCATCCCCAACACCCACAAGTTATCCTCAGATCTCCACTCATGGCACGTACACACACACACACACACATACACACACACACACACACACATACACACACACACACACACACACAAAATAGATTTTTTTTTTTTTAGAAAAAGATAGCTATAGGCTAACTTTTTGTGCTTGATGCTTGCCTATCAAGCTCTTCATGAACACTAAAAGTGGTTTAGTCTGAACTGTGGTGAAAGATGGGCTTGGCCCACCTGCTCCTACAAAAACCCAACCCTAGTGGGGAGTACTTGCCAATCACACTGCCTCCAGGCACCTTCAGCAAAGTACCCAAGGATTATTTTATCAGGTTTCTGCAGCAGAAAAATCACTGGGCAGTGTGTGTGTGTGTGTGTGTGTGTGTGTGTGTGTGTGTGTCCCCTTTCCCCTACAGTTCTGTAAACTGGAAGCTTCCTTGGACATCTGCCGTCCATCTATTCTGTCCTAAGTGCTTTCTGGGAGTGAGAATTTTGCATTCTACCAGGAGACCCATCAAATTTCACTTTTAGGAAGCTCTCCCTTATATCTGACTTGATCCCACTAGAGATATAAACTCATTTCCTTGAAGCCTGTCACCACTGAAGATGAAGACAACTTATCACCTTCTATCTTCTAATATCCTTTTCTCCACTTCTCGGGCTGTATCTGCGGCACACGCTAACATCATCGATATGAAAGTACAGCAGCTGGATCTGTTGGGAATGGCCTGGCATACAGCTGTGGTGGTGGGCTCCAAGCAGGATTTCAAATAAAGGACGATGTTATTTTCCTACTATATTTAATGTGTGTGTATGTTCATTAGTGAAAGAAAATGATGATGTGGACACTGCAGTTTAAAATATAAGAATAAGCAACAGATTCGGGGGGTGTTAACCAACTTTTAGTTTCTCTCTCAGTGCTAACAATGGAAATGTTTGAGCCTTTGCATTCTTAGCCATAGAATGAACGGTATCTTTCTTGCTGGAGTTAACCAAAAGTGTGTGTGCGTGCTGTTTTGTTGAGCGCTGAGCATGCATAAAGTATCAGTCTGGGTTTGGGTGCTTTATTTCCCTCGATTCACACATTCATGTTACATCTTGGCTGTCTTTCCCACAGGTTTTATGCTGCTGAAATCATCCTTGGCCTGCAGTTCCTTCATTCCAAAGGAATTGTCTATAGGTAAATTGTGTGCATTGGAAACAAATACTAAGCTGTCTTATTTAGTTTCATGACCCAGTTCATTTAAGCTTTGCAATTGAGTCATGTGAAATGCTCATGGAGAAAGGTCCCCACCCAGAACCCTTGTCTACCGTGATTACATAATGATTTGGTTGACAACCAAGTAAGAAATTCTAACCTCAGAAGCAAGAAGGTCTTAGTCTGACTTTGCCTTTTCCTCTGGCCCTTTCTTGGGCTCTTCCTTTAGCCTCCTTTCTCTGTCTTTGCTTTCTCTCTGGTACCTATTGTTCCTTCTTCTGTCATTTAGCCCTTGTGCCTCTTGCTTTGACTCTTCTTTGGGTCACCTAGAAATGCTTATGCAGTCCTTCCTTCTGGGTCAGGGAAGGAAGCTCTTTCTGGAAGGTTCGTCCGCCTATGAAAACCTGCAACTCTGTGTCCTATGGAAGTTCACAGGACACCTCAGCTGCCCTCTTTCATGAATTCAGAATCACTTCTGTCTCTGTCAGAGCTCTTAGGTGGGTGCTGTCATGCTTGAGTCTTCTCAAAACACAGTTGGCATGCACTTAACATCCAATCTCCAAAAGCCTAGCTGTTGGGTTTCCAGCTCACTATAGATGAGGGAAGGGTGATGGAGAGAAGGCAGCTGAACTGCCAGAAACCAGCACAGGGACCTCTTCTGGGACAATTCAGTCTTGACCTGGAGTCATCAATAAAGGTACTGTTGTGCTCCACTCAGCTTGTTGCAGAGAGAAAGCTTCACAGAGCCTTGGTTAACACTGAGGCTTTGGAGTGTATCGAGCATGATCCCACTATCTGAACAAGTCACACAGCAAGGAAGGACACCTCGTTTCCAGAAGTGTCCCAGTGAGGGATGTTCTTTATAACATTGCAGAACTGCAGACCCAGGAGGTCTGGGAAGCCAGTCTTCTTAAGCAGATTCTTTGACTGTAAAATATTTGTGTGTGTGTGTGTGTGTGTGTGTGTGTGTGTGTGTGTGT